GTGATGAAAATTGGATTCTCTATGCGAGTATTAAACACCAAAAACAATGGCTCAGTCCTAGACAAAAAACCACTTCCAACCCAAAAACCTAGACTCCATATTGTATGTTTGAATGTAATACAATGTGAAACTTGTAGTAGTTCTAACAGAAGAATCATTTATAGTCAAGTACATCTCGGAATAATAATAAATTGTGAAATAATCTGTCTTTATTTAAAGGTGTAATAAATATTGAAATATTTATTTATTTTTATACACATAATCTACTGACAAAGCAAGAAAACATTACAGTGGTACATTATAGTTCAATATATAAAGAAATTTAATTGATATATATATATATATTACTTAGAAAAGCACACAGAATCATTAAAATAAATAAAAAACAATCCAAGATACCTGATAACCTAGGCTTTCAAAAGGTACACCTTTAAAAAGAACATGGGGTTCTTGAAGTTGGAAGGATGTCAGTATTATTACTTTTAAGTAGCTCCATTTACTTCAAGGTACACCCGCCTTTTGCTTGCCAGTTTATTTTCAGTTTCTGCTGTTTATTCATGTAGAAATGTTTTTGTTCAGTAACCAAGCATGTTATGTACACACACACACAAATATTACCTTTTTTTGTACCATAACGTTTTTTTTTGTTTCTTTTATAATATGCAGGGATTTTTTGGAAAAGGAAGTCTCTCCAAAAATATTCCCAACTTTCAGAGAAACCAAGAAATAGTAGATGGCCTTCCTGTTTTAAGTAAAGCTAGGTAAGTGTGTTTTTTAAGCTGGAAAAAATAGCATTGTCATTGTAAAAGCTTTTTTTATAAAACTAGTTGACTTATGCATGTTAGATGGAATTATAATTGCTTAGTCTTACTTAATTAAGGATTATCCAGATGTTTCATTAGAAGGCTAAAAGGGCTTCTGCAAACTAGGAATTTTATTTTTTTAAAGGGAGGGGGGTTGTTTATTAGAAGATTGCTAGACTTATGAGAAAAGTGATAAAATGTATAGAATTTCCTGTAAGATAAAAAAAAAGATGCTTATGTATCTTAGCATTTTCTACATGACTATTCAACTTTTAACAAGGTTATATACAAGCAGATTACACTAATTATGTTGTTAATAAAAGCAGGTACAGTATTAGAAATGTAAATTTTAGATAACTTGAAACTAGGTAATTATATCTTTATTCTGGCTGAAGAATTTCATGAGATTATGAGAATATTTCTTTTCTGCTAATTTTTCAGAGAATGTTCTAGAGAAAATGTTATTTTTAGATGTTTTTAATAACCAGAATAATGTAGTTACAAAGCTTTAAGTTGTAAAGCTCATAAGACCAATGTAAGCAGTTTAGGGATGCTTATTAAAAATTGCAAAGTAGTATGAGTGACAAAAACAAAATGAGTTGCTAATCTAAATAGGAAGATGAAGCTTTGGATCAAAATTACAGCTAATTAAAATAAATATTACCCATGGCATTAGTTCATAATCTTGATTGTTACCGTGAAAGTTTGAAGACTGTTTTCTTATATATTTTGAAAGTATATTTCAAACAAAAATAATTATTGGAGTATCTAACAAAACTGTTAAAAGTTTTATTATTGAAATGTTGACAATTAAACACTTGGTATTGATTCATATTGTGATAGATTACAAAGAACTTTACAAAAGTAATGAAACATTTACTCTATTAATGTTTAAAACTTAATTAAATACAATAGTAATTAAATTATTACTTTACAAGCTAACCACTTTATGTCACTTTAATCAACAATACTCACAATTGGTATTAAGTTGTGAATAAACACAAATTATTTAACAAGCTATCTTTTGATTGTTCTTGGTTCATCTTGTGACTTAGAGTATTGCTGCTCCATTCTCAATTGTCTCTTCAGTCTGATGTTCAGTCATTTCACACTATTCCTCATGTTTCTTTCCAGTAAATGTGATAATCTCATCATAAGACACTGACTTTACGGAAAATTCAGAAGCTGACTAGTCAAAATGTCATTGCTTAGTCGTAATAACTAGCAGTAGTTTAAAAACATCATAATTTTAGCATTAACAATGTTATCATTACCCCTTGAAGTTAGTTTTTTTTAAGAGAAACAAGTGTTCCTTTAAAAAGCTTAAGTACAGGGTGAAACAGGAATTACCAACCAATAATAGATGAACATTAGATGACTGTAACATGTAGAATACTCAATTCTTTGTACACTATACAATCAGTGTTTTTAGGGAGCCTACCCCTATATTATGTATGAAGTGAAGAAGTAGATAAAAAAATCAGTACATATAATATTAAATTTTATTCCACATGTTCATAGAAAACACTAACTTTCAGTAACTTTTTACATGACTAATAAAAAACATTTTGTAAACGTAAAATGATGTAGGGATGGCAGTGCCAAATAGAATGGAAACAAGAAGACAGGGATGATCCAGCTATACATAGATCATCCCTACATGACTTTGAGTATTAAAATTTAATATTACTGCAGTTGGAAGTTATATACAGGTTGGCTCCGAAACATGTACCCATCCTTTAAGTTATTTAACTTCTGTATATTGATTCTAAAAGTTTTATTACCTTTGCCCTGCGAGGGTATTGCAATCTGGTCCGTGTGTGTGTTTCTGTATGCGTATATGAAACTAATAGACTAACATACATGAAATGTTTACACAAGATGGGAAGTCAGTATGGGACTGTTCTCCCCAAATTTGGTCTGGATCGAGATTCTGGATCACTCTGAAGCATTTTTTATAATGAGGAAATAAGGCATTTCACTATTTGGGGTTAATAACTCTGTAAAGTGTAATCGGACTTGTACCAAATTTCATCAGCACATTAAGGTTGAGACTCCTCATTACATTACAAAAAATGATCCAGATCATTGATCTGTCTGGATCTTAGAAGGATTTTCTGGGTTTTTAAAGGTGAAATTTTACATTATCCAATATAAATGCATGCACTCTCGAAAAGGAGTAGTGGGGTGAGGGTATGCAATCTCTCTCTGATTGCTCTTGTTTTGATTTCAGATAATATTGGAGGATGTCTAAAAATAAACCCAAAACCATTGACGAATTAAAGAAACAGTTCACAAATGCTTTTCATTGAATCAGAGTTGAAAATTGTATAACAGCATGTCAAGCACTCCTTCCTAGATGTCACAATTGTTTGAATGCTGGTGGAGCCCAGTTTGAGCATCTCAAATAATGTAGCTGTGTATGTACAGTTAATTTGTTGTATGAAATATTAATAAAGATGTTATGCTGGCTTGTTGGTTCATTTACTATAGTAATATGAGCATTCAAAATGTGGGTAAATTTTTTGGGGGCACCCTATATTTTTGACTGTTGATATATGGTTTGTTTATCATAATATCATGATCATGTCAGGATAGGCATCAATGTAGTATAACTAAGAGCCTAAGACTTACATACAAGGAAAACCAAGTTGAGTCAAAACATGTCTTGATTATTACAGACTCTCGCTAAGAGATTGGTCAAATTGACCGACCTCATAACAATTTTGTGCTCGTGCATTTTACAATGTAATATTAAATTTTAATATTGAAAGTCATGTACGGATGATCTATGTATAGCTGTATCATCCCTATATTCTTTTTTGGCACCGCCATATCTACATCATTTTACTTTTACAAAATGTTTTTTATTACTTGTAAATACGTAAATTCACAGCAGTGCTTATGAAAGTGTAGTTTTGAAAGTATTTCTACAAAGGTTTAATTTAAGAATAATTATGGAAATTGGTGTAACCTTGTGCGGTGTAAGAGTTGATTATGGAGTGGCCTTATTTGGAGTTCTTTATTAAACATGACCTATTCACTAAGGGAATTACCAACTTTTCAGTTGTTTCTGTGATCCAGTTGTTTGATTAGGTAGAAGTCAAACTGAAGAAATTTGGAAAATAAGTGAAGAAATAGTTAATAAATTACTTAAATTTGATGATGATATTAAGGTTTCAGGTGTTGCTGCTTGTGAGGAGGATGCTGTTGCTTTACAAATGATCTGGATTATTTGGGTGAATAAATAGCAGATTAGTTTTAATTGTAATAAATGCAAAGTAGTGGATGTAGGATATCATAATTTGAATTATGAGTGTAATTTTGATGGGACTAACCTTAACAATGTTATACAAGAAAAAGATGTTGGTTGATTGCTCTTTTTAAGCCATATGAGCAGTATGCGGTTGCTAGCGACAGGGAAAGTAGGATTTTATGTTATATCTACAGAAATATTGAATATAAGTCTAAAGAGGTTATAATTTTATTGTATAGGGCACTGGTTAATACACAACTGTAATATTCTTTTCAGTATTTAGGCTCTGTACTTTAGGAAGGACATTGAATTATTGGAAAGGATTCAGAAGAGGGCTACTAGGATGATACTTGGGATAGATAGGTTGTAATATTAGAAGAGGTTAAGATATATGAAATTGTTTTCTCTTTAAAAAGAATTAAAGGAGATCAGATTGAGGTGTTTAAGATTGTTAAAGTAATTGATAGTGTTGATGCATCATCTTTTTTTCTAACTTAATGATGAGAATGGTAGGAAGAGGTTAAGATATATGAAATTTTTTTTCTCTTTAAAAAGAAGAATTCAATGGGATCAGATTGAGGTGTTTATGATTGTTAAGGTAATTGATAGTGTTGATGCATCATCTTTTTTGTAAGTTAATGATGAGAATGGTAGGACTAGGAGACACAAAAACAAATTTTAGTAGAGTAGGAATCATCTTCAATTATTTGTCTAACAGGGTGATTGGCCTTTGGAATGGGTTGCCTTCAGATGTGGTGGATGCAGTAAATGTAAGGGAGCTTAAGGGAAGGCTTTATATATATTCGAATGATAAGGGCTCGCTTTGAGTGTTTTTATTTTAAAATGTAGTTTAGTGAATGGGGCCACCTATGTGGACCAACAAGTCCTTTATTACCCTGAAAAAGATATCACATCAACATGTTGGAAATGCAGAGACAAATTAGTATCATGATACCTAAGGTGAAACATGAATTATGTAGAGGCTTGAAATTTTGAAATGTAGAAGAATTAGAGGTGACTTAAGTATTCTAAATCATTAGAAAATGGGTAATGTACTTATGAGTATTATGTTTAAATGGTGGAATGAAGAGGTTGTAAATGTTAATTTGAATAATAGAGGTAACAAGTTTTGTGTTTGGAAGATCATTTACAGAGTTGTTCTTTGTTTACATTTATTTTTCAGTTGGATTTCATTACTTATCAAATTGCCTATATTATGATATGGTTGTGTAGTTATTTTGAATAAACTTAAATTTTTTCTTGAATATTCTAACTAATACTGGGATTACTCATTTTCTAGACCCTTCTTAACACACCTCGTTTTTGTGTTATCAGTCTTATTTCACAGTTAATATACATCCATCCTAATGTGTGAAGCTTCCAAAAATCTGTAAGGAACATGTGAATTAATCTACAACTTTCCACTGATTTCATTTACCCATGCTAGGTCTAAGTGCTAATCCTATAACAAACTGAAACCCCATTTCAAGAACAGAGTATTAGGCCTGAATGAAAACAAAGGCTAAACCAAATTGAGATTTCTCTAAATAAGAGCACCTTTTAAAAAATAACTGCCAAATAGTATATGTACTCATCAAAATTATTTCACTGTTTCAATCCTGTTAGCTAATTACAGTGTAACAAAAAGGAAATTGTAATTAAAACTGAAGAAAACATTTGATGTAGCTTATATCTAACAATAAATTACTTTTAAGTGAAGAATCTTGAAAAGCTTTTCTGTTCTTTATTCATTAACAACTTGTCTATTTCAACTACAGTAATATAAATTTTTAAACTAAGGTATTGCATAAAATCCTAAAGATTATTTATAAAAATTAAAAGTTTTCTGAAAAACAAAACTTAGATAATTTTCCAGGGTCTTGAGAGGGAAGGTACTTTAGTGTTTATATTGATGTAAATTATCTTTTAATTGAGATATTTGGGAGAAGATACATGGTGTAACCTCATAAAAGTAGTCCGAGAATACCTAAGTTCACAATGATCTCAAGAATCTATTTGAAATTAGGCCTATAGGTGAAAGTGGCTGGAGTAGATGTTAAAGAAGAATTAAATTAATTTGTTTCTTAGATGGATCTAACATCATTTTTACTAAATAATCCAAAGGGACTTGCCCAACAATATAATGTCACAAGAAATTGATTGTTTACATCCCAGACATATTTGTTCAACTGGAACACATTAAGTAAAAATGTTCCTTGTAATGGCACAGTCCTCTGAGATAAAACACATTGTAGTAGTTTAACCTGTAGAAAGTTCCAATTACAGTTCATTTGTGGCTATATGTAGATGAAAGTTAACTTTTTTTTAAGTATGTCTAATATTATCATGTATTTGAATTTTATTTTAATATATGAAATAAAGAATGATTACTAAGTTTATTTAGTTATATGTGTTTTTTTTATTTACATAATATGAGCTTGTATGTTTTCATACTTAACAATTAATATGTAGATACAAAAGGCACCTGGACCAGGCTAAAGAACATCTAAGACTTTCTGTAGTAACTAAAGAATCAAGTAAAGAAGGTGTTAAGGTAATACAATTAACGGAGGAAGACGAAGAAGAGGATGACGTTGAGATGAATCAGTCTGAAAATACATACGTATTAGTGAGAGAACCCAATGAACCAGGGTCCTCAGAAGCTGATCCAAACTTACAGAAAGCAGAAGATCCACTTCCAGTCAAAGAATGTTTGCAACTCACTTTTGAAGAGGTTAGTTTTGAGGATTTAACAGAACTTCACAAAACAAAAGACTATAGATGTTACATATAGTTAATTTATTGATAAATATAACACATATGATGTCATAATCTAACTGGATTGTACATTTCATAATGGGAAATGTACTAGTTATGGTTAAGATTGAATTAATATGTTCATCAGGACTTATGTTAACACCAGTCATTAAAGTATAAACTATGAAAATAGAATACAATGTGTCTTTGTAATTATAGTTTTTTGACACAACAGATAAAAAGAGTTTAAAATAACTAATATTTTAATATCAATACCACACATTTTCTAAGCACTTATACTGCAATTAATTAATTTCAGAAACTAACCAAGGGTGGTGCACTAACCAGCCCAGTAGAGCTTGAAGACTTTTTTTAATGTTCCATTCCATTTTTCTATTTAAGAAACCTGAAAGCTACAAAACTAGTTCTCTTTTAATAACTATTAATGAGTAATACAATCTTATGTCTGTGTTTGGCTCACTTGCTATGAAAGTGAACAAGTAACAGTCAGTCTGCTTATGTTTTGTGTCAAAATTAACAAATCATGATTCTGCATGATTTATGTTTCACATGCAATACATAATTCTCTTTGTATGCTTAAAATCCACTGTGCTTAAAGCCTACAATGCAATATACACACAATAATATGTGCAATAATGATATAAAAAAGCAAAAAGTAGTAAAGCATATGATATGATATGTGCAGTAATGATATAGTAAAGAAAAAAGTATTCAAGTCACAGCATCTAATGGTCGTAATGTTTTCATTACAGGCTTTCTTTTTATCCTATGGTTTGGGATGTCTGCTCGTGGCAGATGAAAAAGGAAAGGTAAAATTATTTTTTTATGAGTGTTTTCACAACTGATGGTTATAAGAAAGTGTATAGATATATATATATCTTAAAACGTAATCCAAACATATACAAGAACAAAATATAAAGCAATAAGAATAAATGTCAAAAACTTAAAGTCATGAGTGCTGCATATTAGCATTCAAAAGGAGTTTATAATATTCTGTCTCTTCAATTTTACATTACACTGATGTAGGTAAGAATCTGCTGTGCAGCAACAGGTGAACACACTTAAATTATTAGAGGGTCCGGTTCAGGTGCTTGAACCTATAATATCTTGAACCTAACTACATGTTTACTGTCTGCAGCTAATTATGGAAAGGAAGTTGTTCAGTAATATAACAACGAAAGAATAAACAACCCAGCCAGATGTAAATCTAAAGATTTCAGAATACGAATAGCAGAGTAGTAATATATGATGTACGATATATTTATTAACAAATCTCTGAAACACCAATGAGAACAAAAGTGGCATAAACAAATGGAATATTTTGAAATTGAAATGTTCAATAGTTTATTAAGTTATTTCTGAAGATAGCTACATTAACTATTCAAATGAAAACTGGAAAAGATTTCTATATGATTGGTTTTATTGTGTAACAGATTCTTTGATTTTGAAAACTTAAATCATAATTACCTATTTTTCTTGAGTTCAAATTAAAATTATTGATATCCAAAGATAGCTGGAGAAAGTTTTTAACAAAACTTTAAATATTACACTTAAAAATAAAGCATATTATCCAGATAACAATTGAAAAATTTATAACTGTCTTAAATCAGAAAAATAAAGCAAAGAAATCTGACGAAGGTATCTTTCCTTGTACTAAATCAAACTGTTGTATTTGTAGGAAAGGTTATATTGTATACAGTAAATATACTATAGGACCTTTTTGGGAGAAAATATTTTTCATAAACTCTAGTTCCAGTTGCGATTCACTTAAATGTTATAAACAAATATAAGTGGAAGAAACAGTAAATTTACCTTTACATAAATCTCATATAAAAAAATTCAAATAATTGCACATTACCTGTTAATAAACACCATAATAAGTGTATTATTATTCTCGTATTATTACGAGAATCTTTTTATTATGCCAATTTAATATTATAGATTTAGAACCACATTATATGTTACAGAGGGAGTTTATAAAATTTTAAGAAAAAAAAAAGTAATTCTTACTTTGGAACAGAACTCTCTTTGAAGATACAAGATCAGTATTTATGCTTTTATGTATTTGTGTTTTTATTTTAAGTTATTAATAGTAAGTTTATATATATTTTTTTATTTTGGTTTAAAAACTGTAGTTAAAATATAATAACAAAAAGGTAGGCCTAGGTTTTCATTGTTCATGTATGTAAATCTTTCATCTGTTTGAAGAATTTATTTGTTTGCCAAGACTCCTCACTGTCATACTCAGTTATTTATTATTAATTTACAGAACTGGACGAATTTGTGGTATTTACTAATTGATTAATCAACAGCCCCATTAATCAATTAGTGCAGTGTTCTTCTAACCATAGTACATACAAAAAACAAAAACAATTGATGGTGGGTGCTGCTAGAAAATTGACTTCCTTCTGGTCACCAGTTCAAAACAACAACAAAAGAGGAAACATTTAGGTGCTTTGGTGGTGGGTCCTGCTAGCCAAATTCTTTCTAGTGAGCAGTTAAAATTTTCTTACAAGGGGATATTGCCTTATTAGCTTCACCATAACAGATACAGGGCAGCAAATTCAATGGCAATATTTCCTTACTTGTATAGTTGGAATAGTCAAAAAATAAGAAACCCTAATTTTAATTACTTGATTATTTTCAGTACAATCAATTTAATTTGAAGTATTATCGCTGCTCATAGGTAAACAGTTATATTGATTAAGTTGCTTAGCTCTACTTTGGTGTATCCCCATTTAGAGAGACAACTTGAGTGTTAAATCATGTAAGATTTGGCATTATTACTACTGTTTGGTTCTGATTTTTAGGCTGCACCATATTTCCATCTGTTGGAATATTTTAATAATAACGTTCATCTTCCTAGAAATGTAGCTTAACTTTAAACCCTTATCTCTCTTTATTGTGATTGTAACATTTATTAGGTTTTCTAACTTAAAATTAAAAAGTTAACATTTGCTGTAAATTTATTTGTTATTGTAAAACTCATCTTGTCAAGGTGTTTATCTTGATTATCATTCTTTTGAATTATAGTAATCTACTAAGATCTGATAATTTATAAATAAAACAAGTTTTGTAAATACTGTTCTTTTGGTCACAGCTATTTGAAATCATTATTATTAGTAGTACATTCATTCTTTTTTTTTCATCTTTATAGATTCTTGACATTCTGACAATGTGGAGAAGATTCTGTGAGCTTTCTCATAAAAATTTTCCAGCTTTTTATACAGCCTACCATTATTTTCGCAGTAAAGGATGGATTGTTAAAACAGGTCTTAAATATGGAGCAGACTTTTGTAAGTATATTCCTTTTCAAAAAGAGTAAAATGTATCGTTAACACACCTATATAATGCTAGTTTGGATTATTTATATTCCTTTTATTTGTGGGAAAAAAATATTAAGAAAAGAGATACTTGAAAAGTTCATTAATGTAGATTTTTAAGTACAAAAACTGAATCTGAAATGTATGATAGTGAAGTATTTTTGTATATTACATCCAGTTGTGATTTAAAATCATTCACAAATAAAAAGTATGACTAAATACTGTAATTTTGCTCTCTAAAAATATTACATTCTTCCAAAAGTAAAAGAACTTTTGTAAAGATTGAGTGAAAAATGAAGAGATTATAGTATTTCAAGGTATATGTCATATTAATCAAAAGATGTTGAGATGCAATGGTTTCAGTATTAAATTACTCATAATTATTCAAAATATATTTTGACTAAATCTATCTTAGAAAACTAAAATTGTGCTTATTGTAAAACATACCAAGAAATCTTATCAAGATAGTAATGGTGAGATGTTATTTGAAGCCTTACCATGTCCATAGTTATGCTCTATTTCACGACTGTGCATCTTAACAATAGCACTGAAGTGTAGTTTCCATTCCAAAAAGTCATAAGGTTGTCATGTCCAAATCACACCTATCTCTCCAAGCTATTTTCAATAATTTGTCTAGTGTCAGAGGATAAGAGTTTTGCAATGCTTGTTTCAAAAGTCTGATTGTACAGAAATCCATAGGCACTGTGTTTAGTATGTTGGGAAAGCAACTTGTGTATACATGTCGTGTCACTTTCAGAAATGGAGATCCTTCTTGATTACACTGTGTACCATTACCTGAGGCATGTGGATTCTTACTTGTTATAAGATGCTGCACTTTGCTTACCACTGTTGGGGTATACCTAGTTGCAGGTCTGTTTTTGGATGGTCCTGGTTATCCTCATTGATCCATATTGTTTTGTTTTCCAAAGCCATTAAATATAAGGGATATCCCAAATCTTAATAATTCTAAATTCTGGATCTAAATATTTTGCATCAGAATGGTCTGTTACATACCCTTCACAAAACTGATAAATTTTAAGTGACAACACATTACCTACAAAATGTCAAACATCATTTTTGATATAAAGTTACAGTTGAAATGGTATGTATCTGCAATAGTGAGTTGTTAAAAAAAAGTGCTTTAAATAGCAACTCTAGGGGGATAATCCTTTAGCACAGATTTTAGAAACAATTCGGATATGAGGAAAAAATACAACTTTTTATGAACTGCAGTTGTTATATGACTTGCATATTCAAGACCATTTTAATAAAATGTAGTCAACCTTCTGAATAATATGGGAATATCTTTGTGTATCGATATAATGCAAATATAAAAATTTAAAACAATTTTTTTAATTGTGCAAAATCCTTATTGTGGTGAAATGTATTTATCAACATGTTTACTGGTTACATTACAAATTTTAAAAATAATTCTGTTTTGTTCTCTTGGTTTCTTAGTGCTGTACAAAGATGGGCCACCTTTTTATCATGCATCTTACTCCGTGCTTGTGGTAGTAGTGAAGGAAGGAATCTTGAGGGAGGACAGTGATAAGGGAAAAGACAGACACTCTACATGGGCATCTTTAGCTGCACTCAATAGAGTTACCTTACAAGTTGCAAAGGTAAGCAAAACATGTCCATTCTTAACCTTTTCCAGGAGTAAAATGACTGTTTAAAAAAAATTACAACCTAAATATTGAGATTTGAAATTTTCTGTTCATGTAAGTTTTATTAACATAATTTTAAACAAATTGAAACTGTTTGTCCGCTGTGTAAATCATTAAATTTTCTATCTGCACAGCTACAATTTGTTAGTGTACAGAACAAAGCTGGAAATCTGTAAACTTTGCACAAGTTTTTTTGCTTACATATTTTGGAAGTTAGATTTTAGAGTTCTTGAAAGCATTAGACATCTATAATTATTTTCTTCTTCATAATCGATTTCCCAAGAGCTCCCTTCATTTCTTGTGTAAAGCTGTAAAATTTTTTTACTGAATTTAAAGGGGGATCTGTTTTGTAGGTTACTAAAGGTTTTCTATTATTTATATACCACAAAGACTACATTAATGAGTTTCCCTTCTTGTTTATTTTATTACAGTTACAATGCTATTTCGTGTGAAGTTAGAGATTGTGACAATGTCATCTTTTTTGAACAGATACATAAAAATTATCAATGCTTTTAGTTGATATTTTGTTGCACCAGTTCTTTTAACAAACTGGTCTACTGAAGTGTGTGTGTGAAAACTGCCTTTAAGGTGAATGTGTTATAAATAATTACTTTAAAATATCCCATAGTTATTATGCCAACGGACTTTATAGGGTTAGGAACAAAAATTCAAATGCAGTTGTGTCAAAAAATAGTTCTCAAATTATACATTGTACTTTCCGATGCTATGTAAGTCACCTAGTATTTAGGTGTAGTATCAGAGTAATATGGTCTTCTGTTTGAAGACCTTTGTACAGACACCTAAATGGGTATTTTTAAGGAATGAATTTGTGAAGTTTTCTGATTATAGCTGTCCTAAATGTTTACTTATGTAAGTATCACGAGATGAAATTTGTAATACAGCACGTATGTCTTAGGAAATACTATATTGTCACGTGATTCAGCCCAACGGTATAAAGGATGAAGACCTTCAGTCACCAAACTGTATATCACAATTTCAAGTTCAGGTAATTATACATTTATTTTCATCTTTACTTGCTACTTATGTTATTAAAAGTCTTTAACCTGGTACAGAGTTTGCCTTTCAATATTAATTCAACTGTTTTTGTCAGGAAATTCTAATGAAGAGGTGGGTATCATCTAAAGAAAGAGAAAGTGAAGAACAGGGTGAACTGTAAGGCAAAGAATTCTTTGTATCTGTGGATATTGTGCTACCATACAACTGGCAGTACTAGAGGGAACCAACTATTAAACCATGAAGTTGTGTATGTATAAGAATGGAAGACTGATGTATAAACTCTTCCAGACAATGTTTTCTAATAACTTTTATTTAATTACAAAGCCTAAACTTACATCCTCCACCATGCCCAACAAAGTTAATATTAAAATGTATATCTGTATGTACATTTGTATATAAAGTTTTTATTTTCAATATATATCTACTGAAATTTGTACATTATACTTTCAAATTTATTTTAATTGAAACAATTTTCAATATACTGGCATAATGGATTAAATTAACTATGAAACTTTTAGGGAGAGGGAGTTAAAGAAAAGGCAAAAGCTTCTAGTGACATGCTGTACTTTTAAAATAATTCTGACTGTAAAACAGTGTTAATTAATTTTGAGACACAAGGAAAACAATCAGTCCACCACAAACAATAATAAGGCTTACTGTTAACAAGAAAACAAGCAATAACTGTGTTGCACTAAAGCAAATCGGTATCAGGTATTATATCAAGCTGATCTCATTAGTGATTCACAATATAAACTTCTGACCAGCTGATGTGATTGGTAGATATAAATTAAAATATATCTGGACATCGGGAAAAATTTTTCTTCCAGTATTCATTCGTGAAAATCCAGTCAGGCATTTTGGTATATGGATTTTCATCTTGTCTGAACCACCTAAAGGTAAAAAACATGCATTTATAAATTCATTAAAAACTACTTCAATCTCTTAGAATGAACCTACCTGTGCATGTGCTATACTTTTCTATATATTTGAAATATTATCAAGTAAAAAATATTTTGCTTAATGCATTTCATTTAAGACTTTATAAACAATTACTGATTTATTGAAAATAATGAAATTTGGGAGTCGACTTTTACACGAGTAATACTTTCGAGGGATTGAAATACATATCTTAATAGAATAATCAGTTTTTTCAGATAAACTTGTTACATATCTATCTACCCGTAATATTAGTACACTTTAAAATTACAATAGTTTGATATCATGGTTGCAATTAAGACTAAAGTGTGACCTGGCCTGGGGTAAGCAGTTGTTCTCGTAGGTTGCCAGAAAAACTAAGACGACTATTACAAAAGTACATATAGAAGGTATGTTCTTTGGTGTATTTTATACCTATGTAAAAAAGGAAGTTTAACAGCCACATTTTATCCTAATATATCTTGTTAACAAATGAGCTGTAAATTGTAAATATTTCAAGCATAGATTGCTTTGTTTCCTACCCATCAATATCAAAATACTTTGTAATCTGGTAACTTTTGAGTATCAGTGTCATGACACAAATGGCTAAACATTCGGCAGTTCCATTTATTTTACAATGATGGGAAGTTAGTTTACTTATCCAAGTTTTTAATTTACATCAGTAACACTCAGCCTTACAAATGGATGATGGCACCCAAAGATTAATATTTACCTTTGTAACCAGTTGTCCCACACAGTTTTTCTTTTTCTAAGTTCTCGCTGTTTTTCCTCAAGTCTTTTCTTCTCAGAACTTGCCATATCTTTAAAATTAGGTAATATATAGTTGATTACTGCCAGCTCAAATATAAGTATGTTAGCAAATAAGTCTGGCAAAATCTCTGACAAACATTCAATCATCAATGTCACCACTGAAGAGTAGTCTACTCTAACAGTCATTCATCATGTTCAATATTTCTGATATAAAATTATCAAGTTTGTGATATCTAATGAATTTCAGTACTAAAATCACCATGCTCACTACATTTTCATGAACTATAATGTATTTAATGCTCAAACAGTAACTCACCAAGAAGACCTTGCTCAAGGTATCTTATGTCTGGTCGCAATCGAGAATCTGTTGGTGCCACAGTATTTCTCATGTCTTCTACTAATGCGTTCAGAGACATTGTGAAAAGTGAAAAGTGGTAATACTGGAAACAGAAATTGAATAAGCTAATATGGTGAAAGTCATTTCTTATTGTTACCTTCCTGTATTAAATATCTTCCATACAACATTATTAAAGTGTAGAAAATATTCCATTAAAGTTAAAAGTATATGCATTATCAATATACCTGTCAACTTATGGCAACATAGAATATCTATTTGCTACTTATCCTATTTCTTAAAGAATAAACTCATAAAACATGTATCAACAGGAAGAAAAACTGTCCAACAACCCAAGAGCACAAAATGTACAAAATAAGAGTGTTATGGACAAAAGTGTTTTTTTTTTCAACGTGCTAATTTTTCATCTTTTAATTAATTACAACTATAGCTTTGCCCGGGCAACAACACAATTTTTTTTAACACAAAGATAACTAAAAACCTACTTTTGAAGATGTAAGAAACTGTAGAAACCGTGGCTGAGTTTTGAATTAGCCACTCATTAAAGTACTTTTATGGAAATCCAATTGTCTATTTTGTTTATGGTGTAAAAGTCATTAACACACAAATTTTCAAATGATTATTCATATTAAAACTTACTAAATGTTACATTATACTCAGTACTATGACTGTGAGTTCCATAATTTTGTACCAGATGCACATGCTTATAAAGGCTACATCAATCTTTTGAAGATGGTGATGATCTCTAATGTTGTGAAGGAAGTATACTTCACTCTTTGTACTATAATTGAATAAAGTTGTTTAATGCTGCTGAATAATTGTGTCAGATATCTAATTACAGAGTTACAACTGGTAGATCTTGGCCACAATAGAACAGAATTATAACTTACCTCTACAGAATTACTAGGTCTTGGCTCTGCCTGCCACAAGAGAACTGAATTAGGGATGTCCAAGAAACTTGAAGTCTCACACTTGGAATTTTCTGAATTGGTGGAATGAGTATTACCCTGTAGTTAAAAACAAACACTTAGCCATAGTTATAACAGATTAACTTGCTTGCATAGTAAAAACACTGTACACTTACTTCATAGTAAATCATTCATTCTAAACACGTTAACTTATGATACATTAAAATTAAAATAACATTTTATAAATAAATAATAATAAGCAATGTTCTCTCTCAATGAGCATATATTAATTTGAATTCATATGTAAATGTTCTAGAATAGTTGATAGCTAAATCTATTAAAACAAAGTCAATTATTTTCTGTAGTACTAGAAACTTGTGCACATTTAATACCAATACATCTAATTTTTAACATGCAAGTGACATTCTATACCCTGATGCACACAAACCTATCTCATGAAATATAAAAAAGTACACGATAAATCCTTATTGAGTATAATAAAGTCACCTCTCAATTATGGAGGGAGGATACACAAATAATTGAAAAACACGGAAAATTCAGAAATCTCCATTTTTTGGGACACTTTTACTGCAAAACATGTTAAGTGCTTTTTTTTTTTATATATATTCTGTATGGATAATCCACCCACAAATAATTGTAAGTCGACTGTATTCATGCGACTTTCTTTTACTTATTAATATTTCACTCTCTTCCTTAGCATAGCTTTTGGACTAATGCTGTACGAGGTGTATATTAGAAAGTAGGAGTGTCAGTTATCAATCATCTTCTGGGTACTTGCTTTCTTTTGATTACAACTACTTAGCTAATTTTGAATGGCCAAATTATATGTTTTTTCTTAGAATCAAATAAAGAACTAGTAGAGGAGACTTGTCACTTAAATCTTACTATAACAGATGTATAATGTATATATGTATGTATCTATCTATGTGACTAAAATAATAAATACAATGTTATGCCATCTACTGAATGGCACCAAAAACAAAAATCCATAAACAAATTTCAAACTACAGTATGTGCAACAACCATTTCTTTTTTCAACAAAACACAATTTTAAATAAATGTACTCTCCTCACAACAAGAACACAACTTTCACTAGGACTGTAAGTGAGGGTTTGATTATATCTTTATTGATGTAATTTGTAAATATAGTACTAAAAATGGATTATTTAAAATAAACTGCTATTTTTTCAATAACAAGTATCACTTTTAATATATAAAAACATTACAGTTTATATCAGCACAATACAAAAACTTTTTTCCATGCAGTACTTCCCAGAAAAATCCTTTTTTAGAAAATGTTTACTTTTTCTAAAGTTTTTTTCAATGAGGTATGAGTGAATACTAAGAATAGTAATTACTAGCAAAAACAGCCACCCATTGAGTGGAATTGTTGCTAGTATTTGTAAAGTTCACACTACAGAAGAGTTTTAATAATCACACTATCTTTTTAATTTATTTAAAGTTGTTACTTGTAGTGCATTTCTTATAAAAGCATAATAGACTCTGATTCAGTGTACTCCTTGACTCTGTCCATTTTATTCCTAACACTGCTTTTGATTTTCACAGTAACTAGATATGGTTCTAATGGACAGTCACCATTCGATCATTAAAGAGTAACTAGGTGTGTTTGTAATAGAATGGTAACCACTCAGTTGGTGAACAGTAACTAGGTGTGTGTGTAATGGAATAGTCACTACTCAATCAGTGAACACTAAACTAGGCTGTGTGTGTGTGTGTGTGTGTGTGTGTGTGTGTGTGTGTGTGTGTGTGTAGTA